TCCTCGTCCTCCTCCTGCTCCTCCCCTCCTCCTCCCCGTGCGCACGCTCGTCTTCAGCACCGTCGTGATTCTCGCCCAGGCCCAGTGGCAGCACCTCCTCGGTGTGCTGTCACGGGGGTCGGTAGACGGCACCCACCCGCACGGCTGGCCTCCTCTCGGGACGGGGAACAAGAGAACGCTCGGACACAATGAGCCGTCGATCCCCCGGAAGATGTGGGAACATGCGGGAAGTGGGGGGGGGGAGGACGAACATCCAGAACATACGGTAGAGGGAAACGATTAGTGAACACCCCTCCTGCCCCCCAAACTCAAAGCTGGCGCGCGCGGGGGAGACTGCGGTCGAGGTGCAACTCATCAGATCCACCGCCAACTTTGAACATTGGGGGGAGGGGGAGGCGTTCACAGATGAATGTGGCATGAGTGTTCGCTATGTTTTCCAAGGCCTGTATGGGAAAACACCGGGGGAGTCTTGGGATGTGTGTGTGTATTTGTTTGCGCGTCCCTGGGCCCCTTCCTCCTCGACCCCCCCACTCCCCGTACCGGCCGTGCCTGCACTTCCAGGAAACCGTCGATCCCCAGGGAGAGATGGGAGAATGAAGGCCGTGGGGGGGAGGGGCAGGCAAAGATCCAGAAAACACTAGAACAGATTGGGAATCTTGGGGAGGAGGAGGAGGAGGAGGAGGAGGAGGAGGAGGAGGAGGAGGAGGAGGAGGAGAGGAGGAGGAGGAGGAGGAGGAGGAGGAGGAGTGAGGAGGAGGAGGAGGAGGAGGAGGAGGAGGAGGAGGAGGAGGAGGAGGAGGCGGGGAGGAGGAGGGCGGGGAGGAGGAGGAGGAGGAGAGGAGGAGGAGGATGGAGGCGAGGAGGAGGAGGAGGGAGGAGGGGAGGAGGAGGAGGAGGAGGAGGAGGCGATGTGGTGTGTGTGAGTTTGTGGGTGTGTGTGTGGTGTGTGTGTGTTGTGTGTGTGTATTTGTCTGCGTGTCCCTGGGCCCCGTCCTTCTGGGCCCCGTCCTTCTGGACTCCCCCCTGCCCGCACCGACCGTGCCCGCACCTCCCTCTGGCTGGGCTGCTCGTGGTGGTGCGGGCGGAGAAACGCCAGCTGCGGCGGGCCCCGGCTGGCACGCTCCTGTCTGGAAGTCGGGCGTGTTCCTCCACAGGAGGAGTGTTCCAGAACAGCCGGACAGGTACGGAGGGGGCGTTTTTTTGCAGTTATTTGTATGGATTCGAGTATGTGTCGACCATGTTTTACGCTCCTTCCCACATCCGCCTGTAGGAGGACATGCCCGACCTGGTCCTATCTCCGAAGATTCGGCCAAGAGGTGCTGTTGGGCCACGGGGCTGCGCTCGGAAGCAGAATGAAGAAGAAGAAGAAGAAGCCGCCCCACGCATGCCAGCGAGTGACTGTTGCAACGGGGTGACATACAACATCTATATATATATATATATAGTGAGACCGAAAGATACCTCTATGTACTGAGCCAGTCGCTCGTTTCATGGTGGGACCGTTGCATCAGTTGTGAGACCGGAAGGTAGTGACACCGACCGTTCGATAGATACGGGCAAGTATCGGTGGATGGCTATCGAGAGCGTTCGATAGATGGACAACAGATCCGATCTGACGCCAATCATGAATCGAAGGCTGCACGCTCTGCACCCATATCCCCCCCCACCCCCCCTCACTACCCGGAGCTTGGTCCTCCATGCGCTGGGTGGGATCTGATGCAGATTTTCCGCCCCTGGCGAGGTCCGGCCCTACGATGCGGACGACGCTAGCGACGCCTGGAACGTGAAGGCGCTGGCGGAGGCCAGGGCGCTCCCCCACCCCCGGATGAGGCGGCGACGGGGGAGCCGTGGTGGAGCCGAGGGGCCACGGCGGTGGGAACGGCAGAGGGGGCCGGCCTTCCGACGAGGCTGCGGAGCTTCTCAGGAGCCTTGCGGCCTTCCCCGATGGGAGGCCACGTGCGAGCCCTGACCCACCCCACGACCCAACGATATCTAAGGGGGGAGGTGGGGCAGGGTTCACCTGTGCCCTCTCCTACTCGAGGCCTTATGGAGCCTCCGAGGCCACAGCAGAGGGCTTCTCAAACGGCGTGGGGTGCTTGAGGCGCCCCGCAGACTGTGAGAAGGCTGGGCCCTGCTGCCTTCCCCCTGGGCGCGCCGCCGGCAGAGGGCGTCAAGGCGACGCTCGACGAAGAACGAGAAGCGGAGAGGGCGCACGTTAGGAACCCGCCCTGGCCATTCCGACGCTGTGGCCGGGAGAGGATGGAGATAGGGAGTATTGGAGGTGTTTCGTCGTCTCGAGGCTCACCGGGGCCATCCCTGGGCCTTGGGACTGTCACAAAGCGGCCAGGGATGAACGTATGGTCTTGTGGAAAGCTCTTGAGGTCCAGGGGGGGGACGAAGGAGGACGAGAATGAGGACGAGGAGGCAGCATGGGCAAGCTGGACGAGGAGGAAGATCGGGAGGAGGAGGAGGAGGAGGAGGAGGAGGAGGAGGAGGAGGA